TCCCCACAATGAATGTACATACATGCCATTAGATGGATCCTGACCCCCATATCCCTTGAAAGGGGCGTAGGGGCAAATATTGTTAAAATTTGAATTATCACAAACTTTCGTGACAAAATTGTAAAGGCCGGGGTGGTTCAGCATTTTGAAGGAAAAAATTATATTTTTTGAATAGGCCAGTTTCCCCACAATGAATGTACTTACATGTTATTAGATGGATCCTGACCCCCATATCCCTTTGAAAGGGGCGTAGGGGCAAATATTGTAAAAATTTGAATTATCACAACTTTCGGGCCGAAATTGGAAGGGCCGGGGTTGTTCAGGATTTTGGAGGAAAATATTTTTTTAAATAGGCTAGTTTCCCCACAATGAATGTACCTACATGCCATTAGATGGATCCTGACCCCCATATCCCTTTGAAAGGGGCGTAGGGGCAAATATTGTAAAATTTGAATTATCACAACTTTCGTGACGAAATGGTAAAGGCCGGGGTGGTTCAGCATTTTGAAGGAAAAAAAAATTTTTTTTGAATAGGCAGTTTCCCACAATGAATGTACATACATGCCATTAGATGGATCCTGACCCCCATATCCCTTTGAAAGGGGCGTAGGGGCAAATATTGTAAAAATTTGAATTATCACAACTTTCGGGCCGAAATGGAAGGGCCGGGGTTGTTCAGGATTTTGGAGGAAAATATATTTTTTAAATAGGCTAGTTTCCCCACAATGAATGTACCTACATGCCATTAGATGGATCCTGACCCCCATATCCCTTTGAAAGGGGCGTAGGGGCAAATATTGTAAAAATTTGAATTATCACAACTTTCGGGCCGAAATTAGAAGGTCCGGGGTGGTTCAGCATTTTGGAGGAAAATAATATTTTTTTATTTGGTTAGTTTCCCCACAATGAATGTCCATACATGCCATTAGATGGATCCTGACCCCCATATCCCTTTGAATGGGGCGTAGGGGCAAATATTGTGATAATTTGAAAAACACAATTTCAGGCCGAAATGGTAAGGCCGGGGTGGTTCAGCATTTGGAGGAAAATATAATATTTTTTGAATAGGCTAGTTTCCCCACAATGAATGTACATACATGCCATTAGATCCTGACCCCCATATCCCTTTGAAAGGGGCCAAGGGGCAAATATTGTAAAAATTTGAATTATCACAACTTTCGGGCCGAAATTGGAAGGGCCGGGGTGGTTCAGCATTTTGGAGGAAAATATATATTTTTTTTAATAGGTTAGTTTCTCCACAATGAATGTCCATACATGCCATTAGATGGATCCTGACCCCCATATCCCTTTGAAAAGGGCGTAGGGAAAAATATTGTGATAATTGAATAAACAACAATTTCAGGCCGAAATGGTAAGGGCCGGGGTGGTTCAGCATTTTGGAGGAAATATTATTTTTTTGAATCGGCTAGTTTCCACAATGAATGTACATACATGCCATTAGATGGATCCTGACCCCCATATCCCTTTGAAAGGGGCCAAGGGGAAATATTGTAAAAAATTTGAATTATCACAATTTCGGGCCGAAATTGGAAGGGCCGGGGTGGTTCAGCATTTTGGAGGAAAATATTATTTTTTTTTAATAGGTTAGTTTTTTTCCCCACAATGAATGTCCATACATGCCAATAGATGGATCCTGACCCCAATATCCCTTTGAAAGGGGCCAAGGGGCAAATATTGTAAAAATTGAATTATCACAACTTTCGGGCCGAAATTGTAGAAGGTCGGGGTGGTTCAGCATTTTGGAGGAAAATATATATTTTTTTTATTTGGTTAGTTTCCCCACAATGAATGTCCATACATGCCATTAGATGGATCCTGACCCCCATATCCCTTTGAATGGGGCGTAGGGGCAAATATTGTGATAATTTGAATAAACACCAATTTCAGGCCGAAATGGTAAGGGCCGGGTGGTTCAGCATTTTGGAGGAAAATATTATATTTTTTGAATAGGCTAGTTTCCCCACAATGAATGTACATACATGCCATTAGTCCTGACCCCCATATCCCTTTGAAAGGGGCCAAGGGGCAAATATTGTAAAAATTTGAATTATCACAACTTTCGGCTGAAATTGGAAGGGCCGGGGTGGTTCAGCATTTTGGAGGAAATATATATTTTTTTTAATAGGTTAGTTTCTCCACAATGAATGTCCATACATGCCATTAGATGGATCCTGACCCCCATATCCCTTTGAAAGGGGCGTAGGGGCAAATATTGTGATAATTTGAATAAAACACCAATTTCAGGCCGAAATGGTAAGGCCCGGGTGGTGGTTCAGCATTTTGGAGGAAAATATTATTTTTTTGAATCGGCTAGTTTCCCCACAATGAATGTACATACATGCCATTAGATGGATCCTGACCCCCATATCCCTTTGAAAGGGGCCAAGGGGCAAATATTGTAAAATTTGAATTATCACAACTTTCGGGCCGAAATTGGAAGGGCGGGGTGGTTCAGCATTTTGGAGGAAAATATATATTTTTTTTAATAGGTTAGTTTCCCCACAATGAATGTCCATACATGCCAATAGATGGATCCTGACCCCCATATCCCTTTGAAAGGGGCGTAGGGGCAAATATTGTAAAAAATTGTATTATCACAACTTTCGGGCTGAAATGGTAAGGCCGGGTTGGTTCAGCATTTGGAGGAAAATATTATATTTTTTGAATAGGCTAGTTTCCCCACAATGAATGTACATACTTGCCATTAGATGGATCCTGACCCCCATATCCCTTTGAAAGGGGCGTAGGGGCAAATATTGTAAAAATTTGAATTATCACAACTTTCGGAGAAAATTGTAAGGGCCGGGGTGGTTCAGCATTTTGGAGGAAAGTATTTTTTTTTTGAATAGGCTAGTTTCCCCACAATGAATGTACATACATGCCATTAGATGGATCCTGACCCCCATATCCCTTTGAAAGGGGGGCCAAGGGGCAAATATTGTAAAAATTTGAATTATCACAACTTTCGTGCCGAAATTAGAAGGTCCGGGGTGGTTCAGCATTTTGGAGGAAAATATATATTTTTTTTATTTGGTTAGTTTCCCCCACAATGAATGTCCATACATGCCATTAGATGGATCTGACCCCCATATCCCTTTGAATGTAGGGGCAAATATGTGATAATTTGAATAAACACCAATTCAGGCCGAAATGGTAAGGGCCGGGGTGGTTCAGCATTTTGGAGGAAAATATTATATTTTTTGAATAGGCTATTTCCAACAATGAATGTACATACATGCCATTAGATGGATCCTGACCCCATATCCCTTTGAAAGGGGCAAGGGGCAAATATTGTAAAAATTTGAATTATCACAACTTTCGGGC